AGATGCAGATATAGTACAATTGATAGTGATGAATGTATTTTTGTATTCGCTCAGTGAACCTAGAAGAATCAATATTTTCCTTTTTTCTCAAAATTCATCTATGAACAAAATGGATTTTCACGTACGAACACAATTTTCTGAAACCATTCATATAAGTTTATACATTTTTGGACTCTCTCAATTTCAGCCCTGATGTAGTGCTGTGCAACGGTCCGGGCACGTGTATACCAATATGTCTGATGGCTGCCGCCTACGACTTTTTACGTCTTGCCGATATCCGAATCTTCTTCATTGAGAGTGTTTGTCGCGTGAAGCGACTCTCACTTTCTGCCCTAATCCTTTATCATTTACGTATTCCGGATTTAATAGCCGTACGGTGGCGAGATCTTGCAATCAAATATCCACGGACAAAATTTGTTGAGGATTTATAGAAAGGTGAACTTGATTCTTCCCAATTGTAAGGTAGAGGATATTTAACTTATATTTGCTTACTTGCCCTGTCAAAATATCTTGAAGGTTCGCTTATATTTGATTGATGAATTATGTCAGAGTTTGTGGAAATGACAACCTGTGAATGTTTTTATGAGACTGGTTTCAAAATTTTCTTATGCTCATCTCATGGATTTTACGCCAGCTCAATCTTATGGATTTTATGCATCATAGGCGACCATACATGTAATTCTTCGAGGTTTATTAACATCAATTTGNTGAAAGTTGCATCGTGTAAATTTCATTTTATAAAAATATTGACGGATAAAGTTCAAGAAAGTAACTTTTATGAAGAAGAAACAAGCGAACGGATGAAATGCTTGTCTCAACTAAATAAATTTTGAATTTGCTTGACATTAATCCACCCCAAAACTGTCATGAAACTTCAATCTTATTTCCTCTTTTCGTTCACAGCAGCAACACGATATCAAATTTCAGATAATCTTCGTGCTATAAGAAGTCCGGTTGCTGATATGCGTGATTTATCAATCAGCAGACCCAAATCAGAGAAGTAATTAAGAAATACTGACCATTGAGGGCAACCACACTCGTGAGTTCTCGATAAAGAATTCGAATGGTGAATTCAAATGAATATCAATAGCTTCTAGGATGTTTAAAAAAATTTATTTGGTGAATTGTCAATGAAGACTTCGTCCGAGAGAATGAAGGAGATTGCATGTAGGCGATCACTACATCACAAAATCGTTGCCTGCATTACTGTACATCCGAGTAGTGGAGGCTCATAGTCGGCGAGACGTACGTTCTTCGGTCGATCGCCATTTTTAATGATCATTCTCAGCTGATATAATTTCTGAAAAAAACGTTTATTTTGATTTTAATCGATGTGAATCATTCATCTGGAAGCAACCGAGCAGTATGAAAACTAAACATTAACATTGTTCTTTGAGGATTTCAAATGATGTCAGCAGTGAATTTAAGTGATTGAGGATTGGAATGGTTATGATTGCGATCTGTGTAAAAGTCATTCTCACAATTGTCTTTTTTCCTCCAATCTTTTGAAGAAAGTTCACTCTGCGAGTTAACTATTTCATTGTCAACAACACGGAAAATTTTCAGTACTTTTTTCTCTACGAAAACAGTCAAAAAATCATGAATTCACAGATAAGTGAAATTACTGAACGATTCGAACAGTAACAAATACCCCATTGTCAAGGAACGCTGCACCATCGCGCATGTCGACGTTCATCGTGAAATTTCGAATGACACCCTTCTCCAGTGGACATTCCATCATTTCACAACCATCTAAATCCTCACTGAAAAATTTCCGAGTGTCAAGAAATATATTTTGAAATAAATTGTCGCTCAAATAAAGAGGAGACGAACAAAATAAGGCATTCTTTTGAAAACTTTGAGTTAACTTCGCAACACCAAATTTGTAGACGAAAAT